TTGACCTCTAGGGGAAAAACAAAAGACGATAGCGCTTTGAGGTTTACGGCATTAGCAGTTTCTCGAAAAACGAGATCATGACATGTAAGCTACTTTTTTTCTAACTCTTATAGTTCCCGAGTTAGCCTATTCGCACATCGAATTTGAACCACCCTGTACAATGGACATTGTACATTGTAAGTTACTATCAGCTACAGAACATTTAGTGTTGTAAAAGAATAAAAAATAAAAGATTAAAAATAATTGAATTAAACTTAATTGTTTTTCTTTTAAAACTAATTTAATACAACTGTTAATTTACAGCATTATTAAAAAAGAACCACTGACTAAAGCATAGCAATGATCACTGCTCGAGAAATAGCAAATCAAGAGGGACATAACGTAGTTTATACTATTAACCTAGCTACTATGCGTCAAAAGTTGTAATACATTTTCCGAAACTACAAAACATTAAAAAATAACTATAACTTTTTTTTCAAAAATTATAAGCGATCGTGAAACTTTTTTCAAGTAAAAGTTATGTGAAATTATGCTGTCTACACAACTGAAGAAAAAAAATTATTGATTTGAAAAAATAGCGAAATTAGTACTCACATCCGGTATAACCGGAAGTACAAAATGAATGATTTCATGTCATAATAATCCGTTTTAACGGCCTTGTTATGCATTCTAAATGGTTTTCTTATATCACTAATAAAAAAAATATGGGAGTGAGCCACTTCTAAGGGACACCCGGTATATATTTGCTTACAGGCTAAAAACGAAAATAGCTGTCGAAATGTGGTAAATGTAAACTGATATTCATTTTCAAAAAGCTTTCCATTGATATATCACACATATATCTGAGGGCTTCAGGAGGTAAACTGCCCCTAGTTTTTTGGAATATTTTAAAAACTACCCTGTCGATTTTGGCGATATTATGTATCCTTATAGTACGTTTATAGTTATTTATGTACCAAGTCGGCAAAGTGATCCTTTATCGAACGAGTCTGAGTTTGCGAGTCGAGCGAGCGAAGCGAGCGAGGCGAGTAAACAGGCGAGTGCCCCTGAAGTCCTCAGATATATGTGTGATATATCAATGGAAAGCTCTTTGAAAATGAATATCAGTTTACATTTACCACATTTCGATAGCTATTTTCGTTTTCACCCTATAAGCGAATATATATATTTCGCCCCGTTTTCCAACCCGTATAACTCGCCCCAGGGGCTTTATTAGCACGTATAAAAAAATACATAAACCTTATTTTTGGCCATACTATCGCTGTACCAAATTTCAACAAAATCGGTGAAGGACAGTTCTGATACTTCCCTTGTTAGTTATAATACTCCACCTATAATAATAACCAAGATAATTGCACTTGCTGGTTTTACGATATTTTCAATTTTGACCTCTAGGGGAAAAACAAAAGACGATAGCGTTTTGAGGTTTTTGGCATTAGCAGTTTCTCGAAAAACGAGATCATGACATGTAAGCTATTTTTTTTTCTAACTCTTTTAGTTTCCGAGTTAGTCTATTCGGACATCGAATTTGAACCAGCCTGTACATATAAAATATACAAAATGTCAAATGTGTTTTTCATGAAGATATGATAATGAAAAAATGTTAAAAACGAGCTTTAAAGCTGAAGAAAATAAATAGAAGATAAATTTTGACTGATTATTAGGCTTTATAATTGAGGTCGCTTGTGGCCGAGACGCTACAATGAAGCCTCGAGAACACAATCGAGGTTCTGCCTCGGCCGCAAGCGACCTCGGCTTAAAAATACAACATTACAACCTTGTTATACATATAGCTACCGTATACTAATGCCCGGTTCACATTATTTCAGTCCAGTATTCCAGCGAATCAATCAAGTCCAGTGCTGGACTGGATCATATCGTTCACATTATGCCAGTCTATAGTCTGATTTAAAACCGAAAGTCAGATTTAAACTAGGAAATATTCAAATTCAAAATTGCCTGTGTGTGAACCTTCCTCGCATTCAACCAATCACGTGCAAGGTCAATCTGGTGAGAAATTTAAAATGCTCCTCCTAGTTTAAAAACAGACTATAGTAATCCAGCTAGTCAATCCAGTCCAGTGGATTCTTAATCGATTCGTTAAGAATTCGCAATCCAGCACTGGATTAGCGGTCTACACTATTCCAGTGGCGTTGTAATGGGCGAGCTAGAATGAAAAAGTAGACCGTCGATCCAGTCACTGGAGTGGATTACTTACTGAAATGGGTACATTCCATTTACTACGCTACGGGAACAATGTGAACCGTGCATAATGCAAGGAAGATAAATTTTAACTGGTTATTAGGCTTTATAGTTGAAGTCGTTTGCAGGCGAGGCGCTTCAATGAAGCCTCATGAAGATAAAACGCAATCGAGGTTCTGCCTCGGCCGGATCGACCTCGGTTTGAAAATATAACATCACAACCTTATTATACAAATAGCTACCATATACTAATGCAAGGAAGCTACATTTTAACTGGTTATTAGGCTTTATAGTTGAGGTCGCTTGTGGGCGAGACGCTACAATGAAGCTTTATGAAGATAAAATGCAATCGAGGTTCTGCCTCGACCGCAAGCGACCTCGGCTTAAAGATACAAAATCACAACCTAGATATACAAATAGCTATCGTATACTAATGCAAGGAAGATAAATTTTAACTGATTATTAGGCTATATAGTTGAGGTCGCTTACAGGCAAAGCGCTACAATGAAGCTTTATGAAGATAAAACGCAATCGAGGTTCTGCCTCGGCAGCAAGCGACCTCGGCTTAAAGATACAAAATCACAACCTAGATATACAAATAGCTATCGTATACTAATGCAAGGAAGATAAATTTTAACTGGTTATTAGGCTTTATAGATGAGGTCGCTTGCGGACAAAGCGCTACAATGAAGCTTTATGAAGATAAAACGCAATCGAAGTTCTGCCTCGGCCGCAAGCGACCTTGGTTTGAAGATACAGCATCGCAATTTTGTATAAATAATAATTTTATATCACAACAGGAAAGACAAATCTTTGTTAATTAGTTATAGTTGGTTATAAGGATTTATAGCCGTGGTCGCTTGCAGACGAGGCTCTATAATGAAGTCTCAAGAAGATAAAATGTAAGTGAGGTTTTGCCGCAAGCGACCTCGTCTTGAAGATGCAACATCGCAATCTAAAACGTAACCCAGGTTCTGTCTCGACCGCAAGCGATCTCGGCTCAAAGATACAACATCGCAACATTGTTATACAAATAATTATTGTATGGGCAGGGATAGAAAATCTTGGCTGGTTATGAGTCTTATGAATATGAAAGGTTTATAAGCTACTGCCTCGGCCGCAAGCGACTTCGGATTAAAGATACAACATCGAAACCTTGTTGAAATATGAAAGGTAAACCTATTCCGAGCGAATTCTTTTACATAACGTAACCAGCAAAACTGGAGTTTGAAACAATTGAACCAAATTGTTGCAAACAATTGTGCAATTAATCCAAAGTGTGTCCAATATTTTCAAAACAAACTTTAAATATTGATGAATCGTTCAAAATTAATAAATTCATAAAATAATGAAAATTAATAAATTTACCACGTCATTAGGAAGAGTTACACCACTAAAAATTGCCCCCTCCCCATTTCTAGGTGTCAAAAGATTTTAGTCTAGCGTTCAAAAGCAAATATAAGCTTTCTTTTGTTTCCCTCCTGATTCTCAGTTTCCAACTTTCTCCAACGCTAACAAGTTCGGATATGCGGATGACACATATTGCTACTTTTCTTTCTATTGTTTTTATCATTTTCTTATATTTGCTATGTTTCAGCGATGTCTCCCATCCTGAAGCGGCATACAAGGACACCAACTAGCTATGAGGCTCCTTCTCCTCCGACTGATCTTTGACATAATTCCCGACAGAGCGTTCATCGCGTGTGGTCATATGCAAGTCGATATCAAGGAGGACTCAAGATACTTGGCAGATTTTGTGCTGTTTACTAGTATACCGGTCATTCCAATCTGGATGTTTTGTAGCTTCCTCCTTCTTTCCAATATGACGCCCTCTGTTTTTGTGACATCAATTCCTCTCATATCATGCTACGCAATACTTTTAATATCTATGAACAACCTCCTATTGATTGTAGCTAACATGTAATTGTATCGTTGGAATTTTAATAATCTAGATCTTATTGATGAAACATACAAAATTAGCTAAAATGCCTAAGTATTTGCCTGGATTCTTCTTTAAATGTTTCTTCTTCAGTTTCTTTCCCAATCCATCTCTATCCACAGCCGCTCTCTTCCAGTTTTTGATACCGAAGATACTTTTCGCGTCTTCCTCATCCTGCCATCTCTTTCTGGGCCTTCCCGCTGACCTGCGTTGTTGATCTATTTAGTACTCTTTTAGTCGTTCTTATCCCCTTGATTTGGACCACGTGACCAGTGAAACGGAGTTTTTGTATTTTGACGAAAACTGGTATAGGCATCTCTTTATACATTTTGTACAATTCGCGGTTGTATCACCATATCACCATTTGTTGAGTATTGTCTTCCAGTTCGATAAAGATTTCCTTCGCTGTCGTTTTTGTTTTTCCCATTATGTTAATGTCGTGAGCATATGTTAGTATTTGGAAGGACTTATTATTCAAGATGTTTGAAGAATTGATCGACATTTTCACCTTTCAAGCCTTGTGTTATTTCGAATGGGTTACTCATCTGATCTCTTTTATCAACCACTATTTGACTGTATTGGCGTTGGTTATTCTAAATGGCCCTTCAAATTACTTGTAGGCATACACTCCAAATCTTTCGTACGGCATATATCGTCCCCTTTACGCCAAAACCATGAATGTACAATTTTGCCATTTTGCAGAAAACAGGTTTAAAGATAAATTTCAAATTCTAATTCTATGCTTACGTTAAACAAAAAAGTTAAGGTGGATATTTTACCGTAAAAATGGTGTGTTTAAAATACCATAAAAAAAAATTTAATATTATAATATATCCAGTTTTTTTGAAGAAAAGTCACATTCGCTTAATTCATTTATTATATAAGTGAGAAAAAACAAATTTAAACCTAGAATTAGAGTAAATGAAACCTAAAATCTATAAAAACTACTCATATTCTGAATCTTCATCCATGTTCGGTTCAGGAAGCCTATCTTTTAAGTTTTGGTTAACTTTTAATTCATTGTAGAATGCATGGTGAACTGCTGGAATGATGCCGCTTTTGCACATCTTTTGCAAATCTTTGTATTTCAAAGCACTGATTGGAAGGGATTCACTAAACGCTTTGTTTGGATCTTCCATTTGTTGATGTCGGCCTCTATTCCTTTTCACATTTTCATCACACCGTGAAGGCTTTTTAAAAGAAGTTTTATAAAATATTTAGAAGCAGACGCTTCTCCAACTAATTTTTATCTTGCCTTTGGTCAGCGACCAACTCTTAAAATCAATAAACTTGCTGAAAGATAACAGTTTCACCTCATATGGTCTTGGATTGAGTCTCGTATGAGCTGGGCCCATCCCTCTGGAATATGAACGGGGACAAATTTTGATTTTTTTTCTATTTTTGAATGTATGGAGTCACACTCCATTTCGGTGTGCCCAATTTCGAAAAATTTGTGATCTATTGTTTTAAGAGTAGGATGTTTGGTAACAGCATATAAACACATTGATGCAAAAATTGAGTTTTTTTGCATCCATCTGACATCATGCGAACCTGGGTAATTGAGGGATGACTCATAATGTATTCAAAAATACATGTGGATATTTCGTTGGAACCTCTGTTCCCTCGTGTTTCATCCCATAAGTTATAAATAACTTCTTGGTTACCGAGGTTATAAATGGTTAAATTGTATACAGCCAATTTCCGCATGTAAAATATTTGATCTGCAGGACCTTTGGGAGTAGTGAGTACTGCCTGCAAATCAAAATTAAAGGATAAAACATCAGGATTTTCTTGGGCAGCAATCTTGTCGTCGTTTCTACATTTTCTGGCATCTTCCTTTCTATCGAGATGAAGTTTATGAGAATGTTCTTGCTCTTTATATTGTGCTTCATCTAAATTAGAAAATGCTTCACATTGTTTACAGGCATCTTTCTTAGGCCTAAAAAATCCCAAGTGATACTCTCGAAATATGCTTCGATACTTCGCAAGAGAAGCAGGTTTTATTTTGTCTGTAAAGCATTTTTCTTGGTATAACCTGTACATTATGGAAACATTAAGATTACCATCCAAGTAACGTTTGTTGCTTTTTTTCCTGCAATAATGTGATTCAACAGTCGGGAAAGAAAGAATGTGATCAGTGATCACGTATGAATTGTTCTTCGTGAGATGGCATTTTATTATGAGGCGTATGCTTTCCACGTTTGTCTGGCGACATAAACCCTTCCGAGCTTTTTTCGCCAAACAGCTTCTTATCAATGCATCTGTGACATTCAATGTACTCATGAAAAATTCTCGACAAGCAAGTTTTTTTTCGCCATTAGCAGTTAGATGGTATTGATTAGTGAATGTCCTCCTGGAGTTGGTAAGTTTCCTTGTCGTTCGGTTCTTTGAACCCTGATCTATGTGTCTTATTAGAAAATGTCTTTGTTCATCCAATGAATCAAGACTTCTGAATTCCTTGTAAATATATGCCCTAAGTTCTTCAGGAAAAATGTTTGAACATTTGTGTTTCACTCTGCCTGCGCAAGGTGACAGTAACATACCTAGGTTTCGCTGGATGAACAATGTTTCGAAATCCGACGTACTCTTCTTTTGCAACATTTTTTTTCCACATGGACATTTTTGCTCTCTTCTTTTTTGGAACAGTTGACACTAAAAATAAGCAAAATGTAAAGACAGGAAAACACTGTGTGAATAAAAGCTATAATTAAGATTAAGAATGAACAAAAAATCACATTATTGAAAAAGGAACATATTATATTATGATCTTTCTTCACTATTAATTTGTGTTGACGTAAAAAAGAAAAATTTCGTCTTCATATTTACGATATTTTTATTTTTTCACACTCGTACCACCGATTGAAGGTATCCTTTCTTTATCTATTATCTAGTTTCTTGATATTTTCGTGGAAACCTAAATTTTATCAGTTCCGCGTAAAATAGGTCAACACAAACCTCTTCAAACACAATAATCAGTGTATTGAGGATGATAATAAAATCAGTGCTGATTTAAAATCCATCATTGACGTATTCCATTATTATGCACATTTTCTAACAGAATATTAGATATAATTTTTTGCAACCGCAAATTACCCTGTTTATTTTTATCCATCATTATTTTTTATTTTTATTTAACCACAATAATTGATTCCTTTATAACTAAAAAATCCTAATCTTTAGACTTTAACCTTTAATTTTTTCAAGCATCAAAGATTCAGGATTTACCAGGTATTATTAAACAATAACATAATAATCATAAACAAATTTTTTTAATAATCCCTGTAATGTCATTAAATAATTTAAATTGATACTTCGACTACTCATCGATAGATGGCGCAAAATTGATTTACACAAACTAACGGTGTTTTTAACACATTTCGCAATCACTTAAGAATTTGCGTATTGAATTACATTTTATTAATTAGCAATATATCGATTACTAAATACGTGAAGTTATCGCATTGCGTGCAGTGTGCAAAAAATTTAGAATTGAAATAAACAAAATTAATAAATCAATCTTTTAAGTGTATAGTTCTAGAATTTTCGCGTAGAGGTCGTTCTTGCGGTGTCACTTTTAACCTTGATTCGACCTTTACTTATATATAAAACGCGCTGATTTTCGTTTACGAACGCTTGTTAGCTTCGAAGGTATCGTGCTGATAAGTTTATTGAAAAAAGTTTTTAATCAAATCCATTTTTTGGTAAGTTATTATTATTAACAATTATGTTGTATATACAGGATGTTTTTTAATTAATTGTATTGATATCTAAGTAGGTTAATAATTTTTTTGTTTTTTTTTTTGAATTTTTAAACCTGATTGGTTAATTTGTGAAGGCGTGTTATCTCTTCAATATGTCTTAATTTTTAACCTCAAAAAAAGATAAGATTTAATAAAATTATCAACAAAAAAAACAACTTAAGTTAATTACATTTTTTAACCATTAATTTTTTATTTTAGTACAAATCCTGCTTCTCCAATGACGACTTACTTCAGTTATCCAGATCAAGCTCTCCAAGATGAGCTTCGCCGCATTGCAACGGCGATTACAGCCCCTGGAAAGGGTATTTTAGCTGCTGATGAATCTGTTGGAACCATGGGGAAGCGCCTCCAAGGAATTGGGTTAGAAAACACCGAGGAAAATCGCCGCAAATACCGCCAGTTGTTATTTACAACTGATAAAACGATTGGGGAATCTATTTCTGGGGTCATCTTATTCCATGAGACTTTGTACCAAAAAACTGATGAGCAAGTCCCATTTGTTGAGCTTTTAAAGGAAAGGGGAATCATTCCTGGAATCAAAGTTGATACTGGGGTTGTTCCATTGATGGGGAGTGAAGATGAAGGAACTACTCAAGGTTTAATTAAAATTTAATTATTAATCCTCATGTTTTCAAGCTATACTTATACTAAATGATTTATCTTACACCTTAATTGAGTAAAAATTGAACTTTATAAAAAGTAAAGTCAAAAAAAATGTTAAAATCATGCTTCTTCAAAGGTATTTGGTTTTTTATATTATGCCTAGCATAATTGTATAATACCTAGTAACTACATATTAATTAGTTAGGTACTTATTTTTGACATTACACAAAATTTTAACTAGATAATGTTTTGCAGCTTTTCCTAGTGGTCCAGTCCAGCTTTACACTAATATAATATAGATAAATATTAGGGATTAAATTCAATTTTATCTTATTTTTACTGAGATTAGTTTTGGGTTGTTTTCCCCATCATCAGTCAGAACTCTAAATTTATTAAGAATAAGCAAAAACAAAACAGTTAAAATTTCAAAATTTACTATCTAATGCAAATCTAAAAAATTCCAAAGAAAATTGGTGAACAAGAGACAAGCTAAGACTAAACAAAACGATGTAAGGTAAAAGATAACAGGTTAAAAGACAAGGTCAAACCAATTCCAAGCAACCAGGTAAAAAACTAAGAATTCACATGCTTTAAATACATGAACAGAATAAAATATTACCTTTACAGATTTTATGTCTATTAATTTCTAAGATTTCTAACAAGTCTATTTCTTTTTTTTTTATTATGTTATTATTTTTATAATGATGGTTAGAGAAAATGTTCAGTATATTGTTTTTATTTCAATAAGCCAATGAAATATTGTATTTAGCAAAAATATTTTTAGATTGATAGCTAATATTATTAAAGTTTTTAAATTCTTTTTCACGTTTTGAAAGTTTGTTAATTATTCTTGAAGGAAAATTATTTTGTTTGGCTAAATTGTGTATATAACACTAGTTTACAAGAAAAATCTCGAAGACTGTGATTTTTTTTTATTGTGTATTTTGAAACTGTCTTCAGTTTTTCTCCAGTTTTCGAGATATACCCAAAAATGTGAAAAATCGTAAATTAAAAAACATAGTAACGTTCATGTTCAGTATATTTTTTATTTTGCATAGTGTGCTTTTGTAGCCATATGGACATGAAAGTAGAGATCCAGACGAACATTTTGAGGTATTGATGGCATAAATCTAAATTACACCCTAAAACAACTCAACAAAATCAAATTTTTTTGTATCTTTCCCATTTTTTTTAATTATTCGCACCGTAACGAAAAAGAATTATATATGAACAAAAAAGTTAGTTATTGTATCCTGCAGCACATTTAATTCTCTAAATTTCGAAGCATTGGACACCATGGTCGAACGTATTTTACCGGAGATATCGTTAATTTACGACAATCGTGCAAAATTTCATTTTTTGCCATTTTCACTGTATTGTTGAACATTATTACGAACAATTTTTTTTTAATAAAGAGGTATTCTAACTGCTTCAGGCACTAAGTGTAAACATTAAATTCACCGAGATCAATATTATTTTTCCTGTTCTAAGTGTTGAACATTAAGCATATCAAGTAATTAAAATTTATTGGTAGTCGTCACTTTTACTCTTATAACTTTTTTTTTTACTCTTTTACTGGATTATATTAATTGACCAGGAGGATTTGGTTTTGCCAGAGTTTCACTATGCACCTCAGGTTTTTGGCTGATCTTACAAACAATACCAAACTTTTCTTTGTCTTTTTATTTATATTGTCTAAGTTTATATTACAGAACTTTTATGGAATTAAATTTTATGTTTAATATACAGGGTGTACAAAAAGTATGGAATAATGGTTCTACAGCCTAAACTTCAACTTATATTAAAAAAAGTTTTAAATAAGAGTTACTTGAGACTATTTTCCGCATATCTTGATGTAGAAATAAAATAAAAATGATGTCGGCAGTTTGAGTTATGACATGGTGAGTGTGTTTTTTAAATGGAACACCCTGTATATTTAAATGCTTTTGGATTCCTTTTGACAAGGTGTTTCAAAATGCGATAAGGTTTTAATGCTTTAAACTGCAAAGTTTTCGAGATATTGAAACTTTTATTTAAAAAGATTTGACGTTGCGACAACCAAATTATGGCGTCATTATGGGATTGTTATGTGTGTTACTGTGATAACGGAGACAGTTTCCGCCCGAATTTTAAGTTGATTTCGAAAAGGCCTTAGTTGTAGATATTAAATACATAAGAACATGGGTGGTTACTACATTTAATTGTAACAAATAATAATTAAACAATGAAATTTCATAACGAACAATAAAAAAAAATAAAACAAAAACGGTAACAATATTAAATTAAATGTTCAAACGGTTGTCCATTAGCAGCAAGGCAATGGCCTAAACGATCACTAAAAGCTCGAATTGTCTCCGTTACCATGGCAACGCACATAACAATCATATCGTCACGTCATAGCCTGCTCCAGAAATGTGTAGTTTAGTAATTTTTATACAAGCGTATGTAATGTTCAATAGTAACAATAACTGGAATAACTAATAATATCTCCGTGTCCTAAACCCATGTTCTTATTTATTTAATATCTATTCTACAATTAAGGTCTTTTCGAAATCAGCATAAAATAGACGACCTAAGTCTGTCGTCACAGAGGTGGGCGGAGATTATACCAACTCCAAACAATTTCATTGCTAACCAAAGTTGCTAAAATAAATCGCAATAAAAATGTCATCTAAAATGTCGCTTAGTTTATTTTATTTTAACACTAATTGAAAAATTGCATATGGGGATTTATCGTTAGCAACGAAGATGTTTACAGTCGGTATAAGCTCCGCCCACCTCTGTGACGTCGAGTCACCACCGTTACCATAGTAACATACATAACAATCCCACAATGACGCCATAATTTGGTTGTCGCAACGTCAAATCTTTTTAAATGAAAGTTTCAATATCTCGAAAACTATGCAGATTAAAGCATTAAAACCTTATGGCATTTTGAAACACCTTGTCAAAAGGAACCCAAAAACCTTAAAGTATACAGGGTGTTCCATTTAAAAAACACTCACCATGTCATAACTCAAACCGCCGTCATCATTTTTATTTTATTTCTGCACCAAGATATGCGGAAAATAGTCTCAAGTAACTTTTATTTAAAACTTTTTTTAATATAAGTTGAAGTTTAGGCTGTAGAACCATTATTCCATACTTTTTGTACACCCTGTATACTACTTTACTTATTGTTAGTATAGTGCGGGATATGATTACTTTTCGACAATTTTTTGTATGTCTTTGGGTCGATTTCTCTGATAACACTCCAGAGATAATCTCTCATCATCCCTGCGTCCCAGTAACCTTGATAACGTCTTTCCAATGTCATTAAGTCTTGATGGAACCCGCTCTCCTTGTTCGTTACTTTCCGCTGCAAGATTGCTTGGAAAAAAATCTAAGTGCGTGCATTTATGGCTTCGTAATTCTGCAATAAGTTGGAAATTATTTCACGATAATTCTCATCCTTATTATTTTCCTAAAAATCAAGCCATGGACGGTTTGTTTGTAGCTAATCCACGCCGTTGCTTTTTTTGTTCTTAATGTTGACATGAATTCGTTGTCATTTATTAATTTTCTTATTTAACAAATATGCCTTCTTTTAGTTTAGCATACGATACACTGAGAAAAATAATGTGGGAAAACTACCTAAAATTTAGTTATATTATCTAAAATGTATAGTCAAAAATTAGCTAACTACTACTACTAGTTATACAAACTAATTCTATTTCGATAATTTAAGATAGATAAATGATCGAAAAATGTATCTTATAAATACCTAATAAAATTAGTTTCATTATATAATATTAATAGATGTTTTTACTATTAATATTATATTTATTATTAATGGTAGTAGATAGCTTTATTACTTAAATATAGACGTCGTACCTAAATTTTTCACTGTAATATCGACGATTTGTAGTCAAAATATCCCATTGTTGGTAGGTGTTATTACTACATTGTTTTGATGTATTATATAATATATTTATATTAACTACTGCAAATAGTTGAATTTAATATTGACGATAGTTCGTTTATCAAAATATTGTAAATATTTTGATCATTTTTTGTGTTTAAAATGTCTATTAATGTTTATTATTCATATCCGTATCACTAGATACTTTATCAAGATGTATCTATAAAGAAAACAAGTATACATATATATAACAAATATATTTTCAAGTATATTGTAGTAATTACACTAAATATCAAGAATTATTTTTCTTAAACTATAAAGAATATATATCAAGAACACAAACTATAAAAGAACTAAATATAATTTTTCATTTAATAAAACGAAGAAAAAAAGACTTATTCGAATGGTGGTTTTAATCTTACGCATGAGCAATCATCATTTAAAGTAATAATATTTGTCGGTGGATAAGTACAACATGATATATTTAAAATGTTAGTGACGGAACTTTGAAGTTGCTGAACCAAATAACATAAAGTATGATCGTCGTATTTTCTAATGTTTACAATACTAGTAACAAAATAGTGCACGTTGGTAACACAAATAATATAGCGTACATAGTGAAATTGTAAACCGTGGACAGAGTTGCTATCTTTTATGACGATTACATCATTTTTTCTATACTTAGTATTATTTATTCTTATATGAGTACACGATAACACATTATTTAAAAGGGAATGTGGAAAAGGAAGCGCCGTTGTGTTTAGTTCTTTACTTACATCACTTAAATTTCGATATTCATATTTATGAGGAACTTCACTGCAATTTCTGAACGAATGTAAGTAATTGGCTAAATTGTATTGCCATTTAATAGCACATGATAAAAGTACATGTTTTCTACTAGAAATTACATGTAAGTATGATTTTGTTTGTTTGTGTTTGGCTTCTTGACGCATTACCCACAATCGTTTTAATGGTCCAAGTTTTGTAATAACTGTTGGATAATGAATTATATGATGGTGTTTCGGTGTTAGATGTGTTTTGAATAACTTGAGGTATAGCTCATGGTGTTCTTTTATGAGAAATCGCAATTCATTCAGCTGAGTATAGTTATATGAGGGTAAAAGACACATATGAACTAATTTTACAAGTAAAAGTAAACAGCTCCAAACATCATCACTATCTGGTACCAAATCACCAATAATTATTGGAAGATAATGAACAAAACATAGCATTTCACTTGCGGACATTTTTAATTTAGCACTCTTTAAGCATTTCGAGGTAATGTCTACAGATAGGTTACTATTGTCAGAGTAATGGTATTGAAAATTATTTTTGCGATTATTAAGTATATCAAGTGTAAAATATCTCTTTTTGTATATAAAATCATTTATGTATTGTATTAGCTCGATATGACAAACTCCTTCTAATAGATCATGCCAAGGACAGTAGAATCTAAAAGGACTGCTACATTCATTGTTGTGACAACGTGCCCGCACACTACGTCACACCATTTGCCACGCCCAGTCAGCTGTTATTGTGTTCTATGCGTTTGCTGTGTATTTTTAGAGGTTATATCGTATATCGTAGACGTATTCAAATAACTTCAAAAGTAAATCTTGTATTGACAAAAATTTTATTACAAAAATATAAAAAGGAAACTCAATTTATTTTTAAAATAAACTAAATTTAATTTAACGTTTATCTTACTTTGGGTAAATTAATTATAATTTTAAAATAAATTCATATTTTTGAAGTTTAATTTTTTTGGACGTATTATGTCTATTTCATATAACCTCTATATCATGTCTGTCTTTTTCATATAACCTCTAACACACAGCAAACGCATAGAACCAATGATAGTTAACAGGGCGTGGCAAATAGTGTGACGTAGATTGCGGGCAACCAACCCGTAGTGGGCTACAAAAATACAATGAATGTAGCAGTCCTTTTAGATTCTACTGTCCTTGAGATCATGCATAATATCTACGGAAATATTATCTATAGTATTAAAAGTTGATAATTTTTCAAAAATACATGATTCTCGTATCCCAGTTACTGAACTATCATTAGTGAAAATATCTTGCCAATAGTTGGCACGAGATCGCATAGATTTTGTGTCCTCTAGTACTTGAGTTCGCAATATATCTTTGTGACACTTACAGATTCTGCAAAAATAATTTGCTGTAAAAGATCTAGTGTATCCTAACATAGTATTAAGTGCTAAATTATCTCCAATTAAGGCAGCTAGTACTAGATACACACGAATTGGCTTTGATTCGAACGTAATTTCAATGCCATCTTCCTCTAACTGTTTCAGAACCAAACATAAATTTTCAAAATTTTGCTCCAGACCAAATTTTAAGGCACTTGTTTTTGTTAAACAAACAATAAGTATACTACAGTTTTGACGCATATTGTGTGCTTAATAGTGGAAAAGACAAATATATTGCGGATAATTTTTGAACTCCCGACTTCGAACCTAAGGGATTGTTGATTTCAAAATCATCCTGATAAAGCAAATAGGGTAATATAAGCTCGCCAGAAGAAAAAGCTTCCGATTTCTTTTTCCATACACTACCGCTACAAACGCTAATATAAGTAGCCGACTTTTTTATTACCTCAAAATTTTTTAGCATCATGGTAAAAATACCTGGCAATTCTAAATATCTTCTAACATTGTCTTTAAATGGAAAATAATACCTGGAAATATAATACCTTTAGAAACCGTAGATAATGAATTAATATTGGAACTATTATTTATAGTATATTCTATTGGTTCTGAATATAAATCAGTGTTAATCAGATATTGTTTTAATTTATACTCTGATTTATGTTGTTCAAATATTTTCTGAACATATAAAAATGTAGTAGCTATTGTATCATTATAAAGTGTCTTGAGATCTTTTTTAATGACCTCGAATAACGGTTCAATAATTAAGTGATATATTTTGTTAGAAATATCAAAAACTACATTTCTAGGAAGTGACATAGTTCCAAGTAACTCTAAGAAAAATGTTGTAATTTTATTGTGCAGTTTAGTTAAGTCTGCTTCATCTTTTACAATAAGTGCAGTAACAGACACATCATTTGTGGCATTAGGTGGACAAACAGTAATTTTATCAGTCTGTTGTATATTATAGGATATTCTCTGATGTTCATTTACATGTATTAACGAATTCGTATTGCTACGTTGCAAATTCATTAATAAATGTTTGGTGATATGTCTCTTAAATGAATAAATGCATTGAAACGATTGCGGACAAACTGTACATATAAACTTTGAAAGTACATTTTTACATTTATGTTTAATTTTTAGGTGATTTGTGTACGTTTTAACGTCGCTGAAAAATATTGGGCATAAAAAACATTTTACGCCGTTTTCCATTGTCCTTAATTTTAATTGATACCTTGATCCTTACCTTGTTGGTTTATGAGTTCAGAAATTAGTGCAGTTCGAGCAGTACTACTTTTCTTTGGTTTATTTGGCAAATTTAATTCATAAAAATACTCTTCAATAAATTTCCACACTTGTACACTTTGTTTAGGGTATTCCAAATTGAAGGCGATATATAATTGAAATGTGACAGAAACTGCCTTTAAAAAGGATTCAACTTCATATAATATGTCATTAACGTATATATAAAAGCATTCTAAACTTTCAATTGTTTTGCCTATTCCTAATATCAATGGTTGTAACGTCCAGTGGTTCTTTTCATAAACTTCCTTTCTATTCTTAATAAAACTTTGTATGAAGCTCTTGTCCTAAATTAAACACATTATATTTTGCTGCTAAATAGTAAAAGTTTTAAATATACCTTTAAATGATAGGCGAAACTTTCTTGGCCATCTAGTATTGTTGGTCTGTAAATGTCTTGTCCAGTTTTAATTATAGCAGGAATAAGTATGGCATTCAGATTTATAATTAAGAGGTAATTTTTTGAATCTAAAATGTCTATATAAATAAGAAAACAAATCAAAAAATACAAAACAAACCTTCATTTAAGTTAGATGACTGTAATAAATTGAAAAGTGTGCGAGATTTTTTATCTTTTATATCTCTATGGTATATATTTTTTATAAGGGTTTCAAATATTGTCCACTTGGAAAATAATAGTGTGTTTCGCTTTGGATGCAATTTTTCAAAATCTAATTCAATCTGAAAATTAAGTTATTTTAATGATTTTATACGTTTTGCTACAACTAAGAAACAACTTACCAGTGCTACAGCAATGTTTTGTTTTAAAATAGGCCATTTTGTAAAAACATCTATTGATTTGTCACGAACGTCTTTTTGTCGAACATTAAACGTGCTTATCCACTTTTCAAACACTATATCGTTTGGGGAGTAGTTGTTTTTTAACCATTCATAATCGCTAAATGTATTTATGTCAAACGTCTCTTCATCAGTATCTGCTTCGTTAGAGGCATCAGTAACGTTTCCTGTTTTTCTTTTCTGTCCAATAGAAAGTGAATGCTTATACTTCTTTCGAAGGGAATAATATTTTTCTATTAGTTTTCCCCGTTGTTTTTTGGTACCCAAATACGTTACCTGAAAGGCACATGAAATTAAAAACATAAAAAATCATGTATGTACTGGTAGTTTTAATTTGGAAACGTACCTCACATTCTAATGGGAATAGGTTTTTTATTTCCTTTGCGACATTTTGGCACAATTGGCGATCTACAGATGTGTCACTCGCTAACCAATCCTCCACGATTATCGTGGTAAGGATATTTCGATTTTTCGAACTTAATCCACTAACTTTATATTCTGATAAAATTAACTGACCACTAACCGATTTTAATAAGAGATTTTCTAACTTCTAAAATAAATACATCTATGATTTAGGAAATAAACTGGAATATAAAACAACTTACAAAGATCGGTTGATTTTCAGGATTACCATTTCCATCTGTATCTATTATATTAGCATTTATCCAATTATTTACTGTTGATGATGATGAATTCGATGCAGTAATTGTACTTGCTAGGGGTGTTGTTAATCCCTATAAAAAGCATTTAAAGAAAATAAACTTATAGATTGTGGCATGATGATGGCACTTATAGATTATAGCTGTCAACTTACGTTGAGTTGTTTCCATACAAAAAGCTTTTTTCTAAATTTAATTCGTAGACCGAATTGTTCTGCAGCAATTAAATGATCAATATCGTTGATGGTCAGTTCTGCAAGAACGTCGATGTCTATTCCTTTGGCTGTAACATAACACATACCATATACAGAGCTGCCTTTAAAACAGTTATACAACTACAAGTAACATGTCTGCCGTCAAAAATTCGGTCCGTCGATAATCCGGATTCAATACCGATGAAAAAAAAAATTTATTTCTCTTTTTCTGATTGTACATACAAAAGACAAAGTACAGTGATTCCCCATTTAACACGGTACTCTTATAACGCGTTTTCATACTATGCAATTTCATGTCTCTGTATAACGTGTTTTCCCCCATATAACGCGGGGATTTCCCACGTTCTGTGAAATTTATAACGATATAATGAAATTATAATAAGTTAATATTAATTACTTATCTATTTATCAATTATTTAACCACAAAAGTCCATTATTTTTGGTTCTTTTCGAAAATCTGGACATTTTGATAATACGGACAGGTCCGGTCACAATTAATCCGGATTATCGACGCTCTACTGTATATGTATAACAAAATAATTGAAAACATAGTTAAATACTTGCCTTGAAAATCTGGAATTAATACGTGTAATTCTCACTGCTGTAACAAAGTAGTTACAGTATCTTCAACTTGCACATCCATTTTTATTTCTTACCAAATCGTAAAAACACTCCGAATACCTGAACACGTTAATGACGACTTGTGACGACTGAGAGTACCACAAAACGTATTAATATTAGTGGACTTCCCTCTAACAAAACAAGAGTACAGTCTTACAGGTTTGTAACCGTAATAATGAAGAAAGTTTGTAACTGTAAGTTGGTAGCGAATCCTCAAAAACAGATGCTTTATCGATCGTTTTCGATGATGAAAAAGCAATGTTTGTATTAAGAAATATTTTCTATAAACGATCGATGTAACGATGAAAACAGGTAGACAAAACGACTAAAATACATTTAAATAAAGTATTTAATAATAGTACATTTGTCCATTTAGGTAAAATATTTCATTGTTAAATGTATATAGAAATTCAGACTAGAACAAAATAAACAAAAATACCAAATACTTTAGGTAACTAAACTACTCAACAACTAGACTTATCAACTAGTTTCCACGATGTAGTTTCTTTTTCTAAAAATTAGTTATATCACCTCAGTAAATAGATAAATTAACTATCATAAATTTGACTAATTAGAATTGTATATGTCAGCTAAGTTACGTTAGGTAAATGAATAAATTTTCTAGCATAAATGACTATTTGTCTAACAACTAAATTGATTTAGTTCAATTTTCCATATCATTTTTCTCAGTGTAGTTGTGGAAAGAGCTGGGTGAGATATTTAAATGTTGGGCCTTCTGGATTCAACGTTTTCACAAAGTTTTTCATCAAACCCAGTTTGATGTGTAGTAGAGGCAATTTACAGGTGCTGGTCTTACCAGAGGCTTATTTAAGACATTGAAAGCACCAGTATCGTAATGTTCTCTAGAACAGGCCAGTCTTTGCGCACATAATAATGCTCTCTCGCTCGGCTATCCCACAAACAAAGAAAACAATAATATTTTGTAAAACCGTCTTGTAAGCCAGTAACCACAGCAATTACCTGAAAATTATAAAAATGTAAGTCAATACTTAAAAAGTAGAAGTTAGTAAATTTCTGTGCTGCGACAATTACCTTTAAATCTGCACAAACTTTCTATTCAAATGCGTTATACTGAATTAGAGTCAAAACTTCTGATATGCGCACATCTGTTTCTTTGACATTGACGGCATGAGCAAGTGGAATAGTTGGTAGTATGTTTCCATTATGAAGTAAAGACTATTTTTAGAGCTATCGATAAAAAGACGCCATTCACTTGGGTTATGATCTATTTTCGATAAACAATTACACGTGTTGTAGGGTGTAAATAATTCCATTGCTGTAAGTGGGATGCCAATACCTCACTATCAATCTTCGACAACTTCAGATCTCTAATTAAGTCACTTAGTTCTTTCTGTGAGAGTTTATAGTTTATTTTGCAATCATAGTCGCTGTTAGATGACATATTTTCAGCCTCTCCTTTACTCTGGAAGTCTTGGTAAAGTTTCGCTGTGCGGAATCGGATTTTTGGCTGATCTTACATTAGGATAAACCAAACCTTTCTTTGTTTTTTTTTTATGCCGTTTAGGTTTATGTTACAGAAATAGCAATCGGAATGATCTGGTATCTGTGACCATAACATTGGAATACAAAACTGTAAATGAGATGTAGATCCATCTATTCAAAGTTATACCGCAATTCGGACATACGAATCTGGGTGTCCAGGGCTTGTCTAAATTCGTCAAAACAAACCCAAAATAATGAGAATACGCTTGTTTTATAACAGTTGTAATTGGTCGTCCCAATAATACATTATCCGCAAATAAAACAGAACAAATCAGGATTGTTCTTGCATTCAAAACTTCTGCTGCTGCTAGCCATTATCAACAAAATTTTTACAACACTTTGCTATTTTCTTAAACGAAAGATCACTGAGGTGTCTCAAGAAGAACTAAATATTTTGACAATATATTCTCCTTTTATACCAAAAAATATTTCAAAAAAAGACTATTTAGCAGAACAATTTTCTAATATATAAAGAAGGAAGTTATTAAAAAACACTTTTTCACAGAAAGTGATTCGTTTTTTAACAATGACTTTTTCCAAGAATGTTATTGTTTGTTATATTTAAAAAATAATAATTTTGTTTTCAATGAATTTAATGTTTATACTTAGTGCCTGGAAGAGTTAAAACACCTCTTTATTTAAAAAAATTGTTCGTAATAATGTTTCAATAATACATTGCAATTTTGCACGATTGTCGTCAATTAACGATATTTCCGGTAAAATACTTTCGACCATGGTGTCCAATGCTTCGAAATTTAGTGAATTAAATGTTCTACAAGATAGAATAACAAACTTTTTTGTTCATATATAATTCTTTTTCTTTACGGTGCGATTAAGTGATAAAAAAATGACAAAAAATGAGATTTTGTTGAGTTGTTTTAGGCTGTAGTAAAATAACAGAGTCCGATTTATGCCATCAATACCTCAAAATGTTCGTCTGGATCTCTACTTTCATGTCCATATAGCTACAGAAGCACTGAAGACAGTTTTAGAATCATATTCCACGTTATAAAAAAATATCGTAGTCTTCGAGAAAAAAATTGATTAAAATTTGTAAATTAGTGTAATTAAATTCTTTTAGTTCTATTAATTAAAAATCTGAAATTCGATAATTTTTAATTGAAAGGATGGGCTGAATCATATGGTATGGTTGTAGAGATAGTGGAAGCTTTTCTATATACAGGTGTCTCACGTAACTGGTTCGTTAGAACTTTTTTAGGTTCCACTATTTGTACAGTTTTGATAGCTTTTGAAACTTTCGATCTAAAATATTTTTTAGACGGCTGCCACTTCCAGTCTACCGGAAATAGATCATAACTTCGTTATTTTATATGGAATGCTATAGTTTTTATTACACCTTTTTATTGTACGTAAAAAAATATGTTGACTTTAAAAAAAGTTATTTGTACCTAGCGTCTTTCGTTTTCCAGTTATTTTGTTTTAAGTTTTTTTTGTGGCAAATTTCACCATGCTCTTTCACCCTTTGTGTCCTGACAGTACTTTAAAGTACCGATAGTTTTAAACACATTTTAAGTTCATTTTAAACTGTAGTCATCTATTCATATTATTATACAAGAAAGAATCAGTAAAAAAAATGACATAATCCGCACTGTAAGGTTTTTATTAGATTAGTTTAGTGAAAAGTGGTGTTGTTGAATTTTTTTGTTCAAAAAGGTATCTCTTTGATAAATGGTGTGATTATTTCAGATCATTTTAAGAAGAAAGCATTGAGCTTTAATTTAAAAAGAAGTCTCATTCCTTAATTTCAATAAGTACAGCTTCCAGGAATTTTTAAATTAGTATCTTTTTTGACACTTTTCGGTTATACGAAAATGCAAGTTTTGTTTCAACATTTTTTTTCTCAATATTTTTCCAATCCAACCCAACAATTATTATACATCATTTTAAAGAGAAAACTTTGAGCTTTAATTTAGAATAAGTCTCAATCCTTAATTTCAATAAATACAGCTTCCACGAATTTTTAATTTAGCATCTTTTTTGACACTTTTAGATTATACGAAAATGTAAGTTTTATTTAAACTTTTTTTTTCTCAATATTTTTCCAATCCAACCCAACAATTATTATACATCATTTTAAAGAGAAAGCTTTGAACTTTAATTTAGAACAAGTTTCATTCCTTAATTTCAATAAATACGGCTTCCAAGAGTTTTTAATTTATCATCTTTTTTGACACTTTTAGATTATACGAAAATGTAAGTTTTATTTCAACTTTTTTTTCTCAATATTTTTCCAATCCAACCCAACAATTATTATACATCATTTTAAAGAGAAAGCTTTGAACTTTAATTTAGAACAAGTCTCATTCCTCAATTTCAATAAATACTGCTTCCAGAAATGTTTAATTTATCATCTTTTTTGACACTTTTAGATTATACGAAAATGTAAGTTTTATTTCAAAATTTTTTTTCTCAATATTTTTCCAATCCAACCCAACAATTATTATACATCATTTTAAAGAGAAAGCTTTGAGCTTCAATTTAGAACAAGTCTCATTCCTTAACTTCAATAAATACAGCTACCACGAATTTTTAATTTACCATCTTTTTTAACACTTTTAGGTTATACGAAAATGTAAATTTTATTTCAACTTTTTTTTCTCGATATTTTTCCAATCCAACCCAACAATTATTATACATCATTTAGCTTTAAACTTTAATTTAGAACAAGTCTCATTCCTTAATTTCAATAAATACGGCTTTTGCTAACACTTTCAATAATTGCAGTCAACTCTTGTGTAGTCAGAGGCCTAAAATATATTTTCGATTGAATGCGCATAATAGGCCCGGTGTTCTATTGTCGGAACATACAAGTTCTATGTAAAATACAATGTTGACATTCTTTGTCAAATATCTTTGCTGATATTGAATAAACAATAAGTTTTATACCTTATGCAAAATTGTACCATAGAATATATATTATACTATTACTAAATAATAATTTACATACCTTTCGTATGTCATTATGTATTATGTGACGATAACTTTCTATAACAAATTAATACATTTTTGAATCAAACTAGGTATAATAGACTGAAGTTTTGATCCAATTGTTGACCGCGGTCTTCATAAATTATTCTCATTTCAGAAAATGTGCATTCGCTATAAACGCTACTTACAGAGCTTGACAAATACTTTCCACCTATTTTGCTTAATTTGGAATACAGTCTTCTATGGTATTTCCACTAAACACTTGGATCAGAACTTCTGTCTGTTATAGCTAAATCCAAAAACGCATGAATTTGTTGTAGAAAGTTGTCGTCATTTTTTTGTGGCAGTTTTTTCTTCCTTGTCTTGGTTTGATGATGATCAAGTAGTACCAATAGCATCATTATGGCATTGTCATAAAGATTTGGGTTCACTTGTAGACAGTTTCTTTTTTTTTTGGCTTCTTACATAGTGTACACTGATAATTTGTTCTTGTTGATTTTCTTTGTGCTTCTAATCTTCCTACACTAGTTTTCAACCTAAAATAACATTGAACACATCTTGCACGTTTATTTTCTTCCAATCTGTTCTCATCTTTCTCATTTCTATTTATTTCATTTTCGCCAGTAAGATGCAACAACTCCAAAACCAAATCTTTTTTGTATTTGCATTGATTGCGTGATCTCTTTATACAATATACAGTGTCCGCCAAAAAGTCGGCAACACTCATTTTATTTCTGTTCCATTGCATCTTTGTCTGCTTCTCAATTTAGCTTGATTTTATCTAAATTTCCGAAATGTAGATGCAATGGAACAGATATAAAACGGGTGTTGCTGACTTTCTGACACTGTATATGCATTTGTCATAGCAGATCCAAAGAGAAATTCTATAGCCAACTTCCTACATCATTTTGTGCCGCGTCTTAGACAGTGGGAATACGATTTCATTTGATCTGAAAGATCAATAAAATTCGTTTAGTCCAATACCACATTAGGTTTTGCAAGTATTCCTTTTCGATGGTATTTCATCGCAGTTTCATCAGTACGCTTAGAACATCTCTTTGCTCCTTCCATTTTATCATCACTATGCCGTCTTTATTCTGACGAGCGATAATTTCATGTTTTTTTCAATTTATGTCTTACAACTTGTGTACAATTCAGTTTTCTGTTGCTTCTTATGGTATCTTGGCACCTGTATCTTGTATGTGTATCCATTTTGTAAACATAACTTAATATCAGAATGAAAAAATGAAAACTAACGCAGAAGCAAAAAAGTGGTTGATCGTTGATTTTCGCAGCAACAATCTTCTGCTGATCCTAGTTGAGTAGTTGACGCTGGTTCTGATGGTTGAGGAGCAACTCAATCTTTTCAGATTCATTGCTACCGATACTGACTCCAATCTCCCTTGCCAGTTTCCTGATCGAACGTTCCGAGTTGCGTTCAATACATTAACAGAGCTTCAACACCTTGTTGGCCATCTTCATTTCCGATCACTCTTTATGATTGTAATAAAATTTCTTGAAGCACATGTGCCACAAATTGCAGGAATAGCCATGGAAGATTTTCAATATCTTCTTGTAGAAGGCATGAGGTCTTCTGTAATATAATTTACCATCTCCGTCGCGAGCAAGTATTTAAAGAAGTCTAAGACTCTCCCATGTTTATTATTTCTTCTGGTAAATCTTGATTACCGTTGAAAAGTGTAGATTGTGCAGATACATTCAAAAAGGCTTCAGGCCATTGCATATTTTGAACTCCCTTATTAAAAATAAGATATAAGGCAAAAACTAGTGCCTGGGGTGCCAAAATACCCCACGATAGTACTTAAGGCTTAATTAATTAACTTCAAATTAATACAAAAAATTTTTTTTAGGTCTCGATGATTTGTCAAAACGTTGCGCCCAATACAAAAAAGATGGCTGCCATTTCGCCAAGTGGCGCTGCGTCCTAAAAATCTCAAAAAACACCCCTTCGTATCAAGCGATCGTCGAAAACGCAAACGTTTTAGCCCGTTACGCCTCAATCTGCCAGATGAACGGGCTCGTCCCCATCGTTGAACCCGAAGTTCTTCCAGACGGTGACCACGATCTCGATCGTGCCCAAAAAGTGACCGAAGTCGTTTTAGCCTTTGTTTATAAAGCGCTTAGCGATCACCACGTTTTTCTCGAAGGAACTTTGTTGAAACCGAACATGGTTACTGCTGGAATGGGGGCCGCGGTGAAAGCTTCGCCAGCGGATGTTGGAAGAGCTACGGTTACAGCGTTGCAAAGAACGGTTCCAGCTGCTGTTCCTGGAGTATGTTTCTTGAGTGGTGGGCAATCTGAGGAAGAGGCTACTGTTAATTTGGATGCGATTAATAAGTTTAATGGGAAAAAGCCGTGGGCGTTGACGTTCAGTTATGGTAGAGCTTTGCAAGCGAGCGTTTTGAAAGCGTGGCAAGGGAAAGATGAGAATATTGAGGCTGCCCAACAAGAATTGATGAAGAGGGCTAAGGTAATAATGTTTACAATAACAATATTTTTATTTTAGGGTTACTTTTGCTTCTTTTTTATGTTTGAGGTTATGATATTAATTTGCATCATAATCAAAAATATGTTAATGTCAAGATAGCTGTATAAATCATGCAGTGCTACCAACCAATAACTAATAGATGACATTTAATGCACAATTATATGTATGTGAGGCTACGTTCATGCTAATCAAAAAAGGGTTGAAATTGGTATAATAATCTTTGTTGAAATTTAACCATGACCTATTTTTAATTAAGATCTTCTTTTTTTATGGAATCTTTCCATGAAGGAGCTCTCCACTTCTACACCAACAATCAATGAGGTTTAACACAATTTAGTGAAATTTTTAGCTCAAATTATCTACTTATGTAAAAATTAAACTCCAACATTTTGATTTTCCTCTGAATCTATTTTGAAAATCTTTGCTCAAAATCGAATGTCCGCATCAAGTTTGGATAAGTCTTAATAAGTCAACTAGAAATGGTACTCAACCTGAACACATTTTTAAATGATTAGTTTTATTAAGATTAAGTTTTAAAAATTCGTATAAAATCTAGTTCTTGGAATATGAGTATGAAAATTTCCCAATATGTTAATAAAAGTGTCTTCTTTTCAATGAACCAAGCCGTTTTGAAAAATAGCTTTTAGTTTTTGAGAAAACAACATTTGAAGTTTTGATAAAATTTTCGATGTTGCAATTATCATTGATAATTTTCAAAATTCGCTATAAAATTAATTTCTTGAAGGATCCTTGTCTAAATATGACCAATTATTAATTATAGTATCCTCTTTTGAATGCAATAAGCCGTTTTGAAAAATCGCTTTTAGTTTCCAAGAAATAAATTTTTGAAATGATCGACAATTTTTTCGAATTTTGCAATTTTTGCCGATTAAGTTTTAATAATTCGTATAAAATCGATTTCTTGAAATATAACTATGAAAATTTCTCAAAGTGTTAATAAAAGTGTCCTCTTTCCAATGAACCGATCCGTTTTGAAAAATAACTTTTAGTTTTTGAGAAAACAATATTTGAAGTTTTGATAAAATTTTCGATGTTGCAATTTTCATCGATAACTTTCAAAATTCGCTATAAAATTAATTTCTTGTAGGATCCTTCTGGAAATATCATCAATTATTAATTATAGTATCCTCTTTTTAATGCAAAAAGCCGTTTTGAAATATCACTTTCAGTTGTTGAGATATAAATTTTTGAAACGAACGAAAATTTTTTCGGATTTCGTAATTTTCGCCTATTAAGTTTCAAAAATTCGCATAAAATTCAATTCTTAGAATATGAGTATGAATGATAACAGTTTATGGAAACATTTATTATTTACATGGAAACATATGTATTTTCGTATACATCTTTAAAATTATGGAAGACTAATAGATAATAAATTTGAAGTACATAACTGGTACTTGAAATAGAGATAAATTATTAAAATTTGATATATTTACAGTTTCTAGTCTTCCAGTAGCAATTCGGAGTCCTCTGCTAGTAGTATTTAGTCATGTACCAGCAATATATAATGTTTCAGCAGTATTTATTCATCTGCAAAAAGTATCTTGTCTCCTATTAGCAGTGTATATTCTTCCATTAGCATTATCTAATCTTTCATACACAATATTTAGTTTTCTTCAATCAGTATTTAGTGTTCCACTAGCAGTGTTTAATCTTCTGCCAACAGGCTTAGTATTCTGCAAATAGTATCTTCATTAACAATATCTACTCTTTTGCCAGCAGTATATAGCCTTCTGCAATCATTATCTAATCTTCCACTAGGAAGGTCTAGTATGCTGCCAACAAATCTAGTGTTTTGCAAGTGGTACAACCCTGATGGATGAGTAATCAGAGGTCGTTATCAAAATTTTAGTTAACTAAAATAAAAAAAATAAAATGATGTTCATTAGTGCCGACGCTGCTTCGTTATGGAAACGTTTCTACTCTTTTAAAGTAGGTTGATAATCAAAATAATCGGATAATTTCTGCCAAGATAGGCCCATGGCGTCCGTTCACTGTTAAGTTCCCTCGCGAATTATATGACTATTTTTATTAGTCATGTAGCGCATCACGCACTCTAATTATTTTTATATATAACAACCCATGGTGATATAACATTATGTTTATTATGCGTGATGCGCTACAAGTCACTTACGAATCTAATCTTTACAATAATTTTTATTAGTTTTCAGTTTTTAATCTTTAACCAGTCCAGCGTTACTGCTCACAACTTCTTTGGAACATTTTCCACAAAGTTTGTATCATAAGCGCTGTTAACGAATGAACATCATCGTAATTGCGATACTATGAGTCACTGAATAAGTTCTGCCAATAGAACTATCTTCTGCCAGCAGTATACAGTCTTCTGCAATCAATACTTAATCTTCTGCCAACAGATCTAATGTTCTGCAAGTAGTATCTAGTCTTTCATTAACAGTAGTAAATTCATTATGTATCATTATGAGTTTTCTAGTCTAGCCTCTTGTTTCCTATACAACTTTTCCTCTTTGATTTATCCTTCCATTTTCTTGCTTTTCTGTCAGCAATACACGTCTTACTTGTCTTGTACCTTGCAACCTCCCTAAATAACCCCACCTATTTCCTTTCCTCTTTAGATATTTTGTTATATTATTTTCTTTAGAGAAGTCCATTATTCTTTCTTCTCCAAACACTTACCTTAATCTTCATCTTTTTGAATTCATTGTTCTTGAATTTATTCAGTGCATTTTTCGTTATCGTCCATGATATCGACATTCCTTATTTTATCCCTTTTCGTTACTCTTCTCAAGTTTCCCAGCATACTAATATCATGCACATTTTACCATGGTTATCATAAATTCTGTAACATACATAATATATAAAAAAAATTTTCTATTATTTCTAAATGAACCAAGGCAGTATTTCATTTTATTAGTCTTACCTACCATTCCATTAGGAATATCTAGTCTATCTAATCTATCAGCAATATTTAATCTTTCAGCAGTATTTATTCATCTGCAAGTACTATCTTGTCTCCTATTAGCAGTGTATAGTCTTCCAATAGCAATGTATATAGTCTTTTGCAATCAGTAACAACCCTTCCACTAGCAGTGTCTTTTGCTAACAGATCTAATGTTCTGCACCTAGTTTCTGGTCTTTTATTAACCCATTTACATCATGACTCTACTTCAAATTCCTTTTGTATCACCGCCGCGGTCGGTCGTAGGTACACTAAATGACATTTATTCATAAAATATTGAAAATGTTTAATATGGTTTGTACAAAATGTTATAACACAAATATCACATTTTAGTCGTTTGCCAACAGATCTTGTGTCCTATTAGCAGTGTATAGTCTTCCAATAGCAATATATAGTCTTCTGCAATCAGTATCTATCCTTCCACTAGCAGTGTTTAGTCTTCCGTCAACAAATCTAGTGTTCTGCAAGTAGTTTCTGGTCTTTCATTAACAGTATCTAATCTTTTGCCAACATTAATCAATGTCCACGTTTCAGGAAAAATTTTGGAATTGCATTGGTCAAACCCTAAACTGCAGAGAACGTAATAATAACAAATTTAGTTAAAAAAATGTCAGAAATCATTCAGGTCAAGTTCTGAATTGTTAGAAGAAGGCTAGAATGGTTTTGGTAACAATTGTTAAGATTAATTAATTAGGATGACCAATCTCTAAGTTGCCAGCAAACATCTAAAATCGCATTGGCCAAACTCTCAGTTGTAACAAAAAGACTGGGGTTGCTATTGATAACAATCAAGGTATCAAGAAAACCGGATATTTTATCCCGGAAACCGCAAAATGGTTTTAGAATGATATTGACCAAATTACAAGTGTTGAAAATAGTATATTATTATATGAGCATATAATGAGGGCTATTATTCACGAAGGTTAAGTTTATGTCACGAGCGTAGCGAGTGGCATAATTAACCTGAGTGAATAATAGCTCATTATATGCAAGTAGAATACTATACTTTGTCCACGATTATTGAAATTGATTCCATAAATTTATTTTTTAAATAAATTTTTGAAGAAAGGTTAAACGTCAATGTGACACAAATTCAATGTTACTAACTGTAACCAACTTCACAACAATTTGTCAAAATTAAATGTCAGTTTTATAAAACGTCGTTTTCTTTAGAAAAATTTATTAATTTATGCTTAAATCATACGAAAAAAGGAATTTGTTTAGGTTTTTTTAATATTAAACATTTAGAAACTCTTAAAAAATTGAATTAAATTCACGTTTTTTGAACTTTTAACGTTTCAAATAATTATTGTTAGTCTGGTCAAGATGGCTACCCGTGGATAATGATTATTATTCACCGCTATTATTCACTCCGTGAAAAAAGACTACAATTTTGTTTTAGAAAACTCATTCATAAGGTATATATTATAAGGTAGTCATGGACAAAAGTTTTTATTTGGCATTACTCTGGGGAGATTCCAGAAATCAACAAAAAGTTTTAGAATGATTGGCCAAACTGAAAAATGTTTGGAATCACTCTGGTTGAACTTTAATTTGAAAGAAAATGACAGAATTATCATACCTCAGATATCTTATTTTCGAGGCACCTATGTTGCTGAGGTAGTAGCATGAATACCAAAGATAAAAATAGTAAAACTTTTATTTTAATAATATCTTGTTGGATAACAATTTGAAAAAATAACGAATTTGTCATATTTTCATATTATCGTATTTTTCTCAATATCTATGCGTCTGAGAGCAAATGTACAAGAAAGTAATGTTGCTAAGAATAAAATTTGCTACAACTTTCGTTCGAAAAGTTTTTCTCTAGCATACTCAGATTCTCCAGTGCTACCATCAATAATTTGAAAAAACAACGAATTCATCATGTTTTGATATTATCGTATTTTTCTCGATATCTATGCGTCTGAGGGCAAAAGTGCAAGAGAGCAATGTTGTTAAGAATAAAATTTGTTACCATTTTCGTTCGAAAAGTTTTTCTGTATCATGCTCAGATTCCCCAATGCTATCATCAATAATTTGAAAAAGCAACGAATTCATCTTATTCTCATATTATTGTATTTTTCTCAATATTTATGCATCTGAGAGGAAATGTGCAAGAGAGCAATGTTGTTAGGAATAACATTTGCTACAACTTTCGTTGGAAAAGTTTTTCTCTAGCATGCTCAGATTCTCCAGTGCTACCATCAATAATTTGAAAAAACAACGAATTCATCATATTTTCATATCGCATTTTTCTCCATATCTATGCATCTGAGAGCAAAAGTGCAAGAGTGCAGTTTTGTTAAGAATAAAATTTGCTACAACATTCGTTCGAAAAGTTTTTTTCTAGCATGCTCCGATTTCCCAGTGCTACCATCAATAATTTGAAAAAGCAACGAATTCATCATCTTTTCATATCGTATTTTCAATATCTATACATCTGAGAGAAAATGAGCAAGAGAGCAATTTTGTTGACAATTAAATTTGCTACAACTTTCTTTCTAAAAGTTTTTCTCTAGCATGCTCAGATTCCCCAGTGCTACCATCAATAATTTGAAAAAACAATGAATTCGTCATATTTTTAAATTATCGTATTTTTCTCGATATCTCTGCATCTGATAGCAAAAGTGCAAGAAAGCAATGTTGTTAAGAATAAAATTTGCTACACCTTTCGTTGGAAAAGTTTTTCTCTAGCATGCTCAGATTCTCCAATGCTACCATCAATGATTTGAAAAAACAATAAATTCATATTTTCAAATTATCGTATTTTTCTCAATATCTATGCGTCTGACAGCAAAAGTGTAAGAAAGCAATGTTGTTAAGAATAAAATTTGCTACAACTTTCGCTCGAAAAGTTTTTCTCTAGCATGCTCAGATTCTCCAATGCTACCATCAATGATTTGAAAAAACAATAAATTCATCATATTTTCAAATTATCGTATTTTTCTCGATATCTATGTGTCTGAGAGTAAAAGTGTAAGAAAGCAATGTTGTTAAGAATAAAATTTGCTACAACTTTCGTTCGAAAAGTTTTTTTGTAGCATGCTTAGATTCCCCAGTGCTACCATCAATAATTTGGAAAAACAATGAATTCATCATTTTCATATCGTATTTTTCTCAATATCTATGCATCTGAGAGCAAATGTGCAAGAGCACAATTTTGTTAAGAATAAAATTTGCTACAACTTTCGATCAAAAAGTTTTTCTCTAACATGCTCAGATTTCCCAGTGGTATCATCAATAATTTGAAACAACGAATTCATCCTATTTTTAAATTATCGTATTTTTCTCGATATCTATGCCTCTAAGAGCAACAGTGCAAGAGAGCAATTTTGTTGACAATAGAATTTGCTACAACTTTCGTTCGAAAAGTTTTTTTGCAGCATGCTCAGATTCCCCAGTGGTACCATCAATAATTTGAAACAACGAATTCATCCTATTTTTAAATTATCGTATTTTTCTCAATATCTATGCATCTAAGAGCAAAAGTGCAAGAGTGCAATTTTGTTGACAATAAAATTTGCTACAACTTTCGTTCGAAAAGTTTTTCTCTAGCATGCTCAGATTCTCCAGTGTTACCATAAATAATTCGTAGACTAGGTCACATACAATTTTCTAAAATCAGTCTATCCTTCCACTAGCAGTGTCTAGTCTTCTGCCAACAATTCTAGTGTTCTGCAAGTAGTTTCTGGTCTTGCATTAACAATATCTAATCTTCTGCCAACAATTTATAGTCTTCTGCAATCGGTACTTAGTCTTCCTCTAGCATTTTCTAGTCTTCTGCCAACAGATCAAGTGTTCTGTAACTAGTTTCTAGTGTTTCATTAACAGTATTTAGCTTTCTGCTAGCAGTATAGTCTTCTGCAATCAGTATCTAGTCAAAGCGCAAGTACTAAATACTACTTGCAGAATCATTGGTCTTTCATTAGCAATATCTAGCCTTCTGTAATCAGTGTCTAATTTTCCAGCAACAGTATCTAGTGTTCTGTAAACAGTTTTATTGGCCGTATCTAATTAGCAAAATCTAGTCAATTACAGTTTAAAACTCAATCACCAGTTACTCTAATTCAATTAGAAATATTAATTGTGAATTACAAATCAAATCCAATTGAATTAATTGTCATAAATTTAATAGCAATTAAAATTGATTGATGAATTCATTTATTAATTGATTTATTTATCAATCATACTTTAATTTCATTTCCTCAACTTTTCAAGCTTAATTTTTTTAATTATAGGCGAATAGTGATGCTTCTTATGGAAAATACGACGCTTACGCCATATCAGATTTGGCACAACAAAGTTTATTTCAAAAAATTTATTAACTGTGTATCGATTAAACAAATTATTAAAAAAATAATTTGATTATTTGTTGTAAATTTATTGTTTTTAATTTTTTAAGGCTAATGGCTCGGCATCCCAAGGAAAATACGTGGCTGGAACCGTCGAGGGTAGCGCAGGAATGGAAAGCATGTTCATTAAAAACCACTCCTATTAAAAATTAATTCATTCTTATCCTTTTTATCCCTAACAATTAAAAGTAAGGATGAAGAAAGGATTCGATGAAATAAATTCTGCGCTTTTTTTCCACATTATTATTATTATTACAAATTAAAAATTGTAATTTGTCTTTTAAAAAAAAATTTTAAATATCTTTGTAACCATTTTTATTTATTTTTTTTTTATTCTTTATTTTAGATCTTGACATGGTGGTTATTTTAGGTGAGTCAATTTTAATTTCCTTGATTCATTTCCTTTTTTCCTATTAATCTTTCCTTGGTGGAGAAAAAAGGTTCATAAATTAAAGATTCAAATTTAATTTATTTAATAAATACCTAATTAATTAAAGTATCACAACAAAAAAATAGAATCACAAATCACATCGATTAAAAAATAATACTACGATATTAGATTAATTAAGTCTTAATACTGGAGAAGTTCCCGTTTAAGTACAAGATTATTTATTTAGGGTTTAATTGATAACGGTTTCGGTTCGTTGAAGTTTATCGTTTGAAGCTATCTTCGTACGTAATCAAATCTGGGGTCATTTCCTCTTGTAAGTTGTCATCCTGGGGACTCAATAGCAACTCGAGCAGATTCGATTGCGATCGACGTCTCCTGCCACTATAACAAACAAAAAAAACGCTACAATCTTGTTTCATTTTAAACTTTTATTTTAATTTGGTGATATCATCAAAAATAATTTATTAATAAGATTAAGATAATATGTATTTGATACAATTATGTCGGGATTAAACTGTTGATAGTTGTAAATTTTTCTTGGTCGCTTCTGAAAAATAATTTTTTATTGAGATTACAATCTCGTCGTTGTACTTACATTATTGCGGGGTCTAATTTCCCGTGAGCAACTGGGATGGTTACGATTTGACCTTTTAGTTGAGATAGCCCCAATTTTGTGTTCAATTCTGCCAATCTTTGATCGGAAACACGTTTAACTCTGCAACAAAAAAAATATATAAAAAATATGGAATGACAGAAATAATTGAAGGAAAAATTCTGCAATTGCATTGGCCAAACTCTAAATTGCAGAAAATGCTTCAATACTTCAAAAAAAGCTACAAGTTATACTGAGCTATCTCAAATTTGCAAGAAATTATCTTGAATTACATTGAACAAGTCTAGAATTATATTGATCAAACTACAGATTTGAAAAAAAGTTTTTGTAATTACTCTGATAAAATTTTTTTTTACAAGAAAAATATTGGAATTGTATTATTCAATGTCTAAGTTTCATGAAAAATTCTAGAATTACATTGGCTAAACTGCAGAGAACGTTTGGGGAATTACGAACCCCAAATAACAAATTTAGTTAAAAAAATGTCAGAAATCATGCAAGTCAAGTTCTAAATAAGGTTGCTATTGATAACAATCAAGGTATCAAGAAAAACAAGTATTTTATCCCGGAAACCGCAAAAAGGTTTTGGTATTACTCTGGGGAGATTCCAGAAATCAAGTTTTAGAACGACATTGACCAAAAGTTTTGAATCACTCTGGCTAATCTTTAATTTGAAGAAAATGTTAGAATTGCCATTGGTAAGATTCCAGATATCTTATTTTTGAGGCAGCTATGTTGCTGAGGCAGTAACATGAATACTGAAGATAAAAACATAACATAACAATTTGAAAAAACAACGAATTCGTCATATTTTTATATAATCGTATTTTTCTCAATATCCATGCGTCTGAGAGCAAAAGTGCAAGAGAGCAATGTTGTTAAAAATAAAATTTGCTACAACTTTCGTTCGAAAAGTTTTTCTCTAGCATGCTGAGATTCCCCAGTGCTACCATCCATAATTTGAAAAAACCAATTCATCATATTTTCATATTATCGTATTTTTCTCAATATCTATGCGTCAGAGAGCAATGTTGTTAAGAATAAAATTTGCTACAACTTTCGTTCGAAAAGTTTTTTTCTAGCATGCTCAGATTCCCCAGTGCTGCCATCAATAATTTAACAAAACAACGAATTCATCATATTTTCATATTATCGTATTTTTCTCAATATCTATGCATCTGAGAGCAAATGTGCAAAAGAGCAATTTTGTTAACAATAAAATTTGCTACAACTTTCGTTGGAAAAGTTTTTCTCTAGCATGCTCAGATTCTCCAATGCTACCATCAATGATTTGAAAAAACAATAAATTTCATCAATTTGTTCATATTTTAGCATTTTCCTTGATTTGTATGCGTCTGAGAGCAAATGTGCAAGAGAGCAATTTTGTTAAGAATAAAATTTGCTACAACTTTCGTTCGAAAAGTTTTTCTCTAGCATGCTCAGGTTCCCCAGTGCTACCATCAATGATTTGAAAAAACAATAAATTCATTATATTTTTAACTTATCGTATTTTTCTTGATATCTATGCGTCTGAGAGCAAATATGTAAGAGAGCAATGTTGTTAAGAATAAAATTTGCTACAACTTTCGTTCGAAAAGTTTTTCTCTAGCATGCTCAGATTCTCCAATGCTACCATCAATGATTTGAAAAAACAATAAATTCATCATATTTTCAAATTATCGTATTTTTCTCAATATCTATGCGTCTGACAGTAAAAGTGTAAGAAAGCAATGTTGTTAACAATAAAATTTGCTACAACTTTCGTTCGAAAAGTTTTTCTCTAGCATGCTCAGATTCTCCAATGCTACCATCAATAATTTGAAAAAACCAATTCATCATATTTTTATATTATCGTATTTTTCTCAATATCCATGCGTCTGAGAGCAAAAGTGCAAGAGAGCAATGTTGTTAAAAATAAAATTTGCTATAACTTTGTTTCGAAAAGTATTTCTCTAGCATGCTCAGATTCCCCAGTGCTACCATCAATAATTTGAAAAAACAACGAATTCATCATATTTTCATATCGCATTTTTCTCCATATCTATGCATCTGAGAGCAAAAGTGCAAGAGAGCAGTTTGGTTAAGAATAAAATTTGCTGTAACTTTCGTTCGAAAAGTTTTTCTATAGCATGCTCAGATTCTCCAGTGATACCATCAATAATTTGAAAAAACAACGAATTCATCATATTTTCATATAGTATTTTTCTCAATATCTATGCATCTGACAGTAAAAGTGCAAGAGTACAGTTTTGTTAAGAATAAAATTTGCTACAACTTTCGTTGGAAAAGTTTTTCTCTAGCATGCTCAGGTTCCCCAGTGCTACCATCAATAATTTGAAAAAACAATGAATTCATCATATTTTTAAATTATCGTATTTTTCTCAATATCTATGCGTCTGTGAGCAAAAGTGCAAGAGAGCAATGTTGTTAAGAATAAAATTTGCTACAACTGTCTTTCGAAAAGTTTTTCTCTAGCATGCTCGGATTCCCCTGTGTTAAAATAATTCCGAGACTAGGTCACATATAGTCTTCTAAAATCAGTCTATCCTTCCACTAGCAGTATCTATTCTTCTGCCAACAATTCTAGTGTTCTGCAAGTAGTTTCTGGTCTTTCATTAACATTATCTAATCTTCTGCCAACAATATATAGTCTTCTGCAGTCGGTATTTAGTCTTCCACTAGCATTTTCTAGTGGAGGAATAGGAAAAATAACAAATTTAGTTAAAAAAATGTCAGAAATCATTCAAGACAAGTTCTAAATGAGGTTGTTATTGATGAAGGTATCAAGAAAAACAAGTATTTTATCCCGGAAACCGCAAAGAGGTTTTGGTATTACTCTGGGGAGATTCCAGAAATCTAGAAAAACTTTTAGAATGATGGCCCAAATTACAGATACTGAAAAAAGTTTGGAATCACTCTGGTTGAACTTTAATTTGAAAGTAAATGTTAGAATTGCCATTGGTAAGACTCCAGATATCTTATTTTCGAGGCAGCAACGTTTATTTCAATAATATCTTGGATAACAATTTGAAAAAACAACAAATTCGTCATATTTTTATATTATCGTATTTTTCTCAATGTCTATGCATCTGAGAGCAAATGTGCAAGAGAGCAATTTTGTTAACAATAAAATTTGCTACAACTTTCGTTCGAAAAGTTTTTCTCTAGCATGCTCAGATTCCCCAGTGTTAAAATAATTCAGAGACTAGGTCACATATAGTCTTCTGAAATCAGTCTATCCTTCCACTAGCAGTGTCTATTCTTCTGCCAACAATTCTAGTATTCTGCAAGTAGTTTCTGGTCTTTCATTAACTATATCTAATTTTCTGCCAACAATATATAGTCTTCTGCAATCGGTATTTAGTCTTCCACTTGCATTTTCTAGTGGAGGAATAGGAAAAATAACAAATTTAGTTAAAAAAATGTCAGAAATCATCCAAGTTCTAAATGAGGTTGTTATTGATGAAGGTATCAAGAAAAACAAGTTTTTATCCCGGAAACCGCAAAAAGGTTTTGGTATTACTCTGAGGAGATTCCAGAAATCAAGAAAAACTTTTAGAATGATATTGGCCAAATTACAGGTACTGAAAAAAGTTTGGAATCACTCTGGTTGAACTTTAATTTGAAAGGAAATTCTAGAATTGTCATTGGTAAGACTCCAGATATCTTATTTTCGAGGCAGCAACTTTTATTTCAATAATATCTTTGATAACAATTTGAAAAAACAACGAATTCGTCATATTTTTATATTATCGCATTTTTCTCAATATCTATGAATCTGAGAGCAAATGTGCAAGAGAGCAATTTTGTTAAGAATAAAATTTGCTACAACTTTCTTTCGAAAAAATTTTCTCTAGCATGCCCCAGTATTAAAATAATTCAGAGACTAGGTCACATATAATCTTCTGAAATCAGTCTATCCTTCCACTAGCAGTGTCTAGTCTTTTGCGAACAATTCTAGTGTTCTGGAAGTAGTTTCTGGTCTTTCATTAACAATATCTAATCTTCTGCCAACAATATATAGTCTTCTGCAATCGGTATTTAGTCTTCCACTAGCATTTTCTAGTGGAGGAATAGGAGAAATAACAAATTTAGAAAAAAAAATTTCAGAAATTATTCAAGCCAAATTCTAAATGAGGTTGTTATTGATGAAGGTATCAAGAAAAACAAGTATTTTATCCCGGAAACCGTAAAAAGGTTTTGGTATTACTCTGGGGAGATTCTAGAAATCAAGAAAAACTTTTAGAATGATATTGGCCAAATTACAGGTACTGAAAAAAGTTTGGAATCACTCTGGTTGAACTTTAATTTGAAAGAAAATGTTAGAATTGCCATTGGTAAGACTCCAGATATCTTATTTTCGAGGCAGCAACGTTTATTTCAATAATATCTTGGATAACAATTTGAAAAAACAACGGATTCGTCATATTTTTATATTATCGTATTTTTCTCGATATCTATGCATCTGAGAGCAAATGTACAAGAGAGTAATGTTGCTAAGAATGAAATTTGCTACAACTTTTGTTCGAAAAGTTTTTCTCTAACATGCTCAGATCCCCCAGTGGTACCATCAATAATTTGAAAAAACAACGAATTCATCATATCTTCATAATATCGTATTTTTCTCAATGTTTATGTATCTGAGAGCAAATGCGCAAGAGAGCAACGTTGTTAAGAATAAAATTTGCTACAACTTTCGTTCGAAAGGTTTTTTTGTAGCATGCTCAGATTCCTCAATGCTACCATCAATAATTTGAAAAAACAATGAATTCATCATATTTTTAAATTATCGTATTTTTCTCGATATATATGCGTCTGAGAGCAAATGTGCAAGAGAGCAATGTTGTTAAGAATGAAATTTGCTACAACTTTCGTTGGAAAAGTTTTTTTGTAGCATGCTCAGATTTCCCAGTGCTACCATCAATAATTTGAAAAAACAATGATTTCATCAATTTTTTCATATCTTAGCATTTTCCTTGATTTGTATGCATATGAGAGCAAAAGTGCAAGAGAGCAATGTTGTTAAGAATGAAATTTGCTACAACTTTCATTCGAAAAGTTTTTCTCTAGCATGCTCAGATTCCCCAGTGCTACCATCAA